GGACGGATCACTTTCGTACTTAGGAGCAAATTAATGAAATTTCACTAACGTTTTTCCCGTACGTTGTTTTCCCTATACGGGATCCGTTATCGTGAGGCGATCTGGGAAAATCTCTTTCGAGGAAAACTCGGGGAAATGACTTGATAACTTTGAATGTTATCTCCTTTGTGAGATATTGCATGTAGCTATTTTGAGTTGAATTGCTATTGTGAGACGTTTATGTTATTTCGTAAACGGTACATTTGTCAAAATGAAAACTTTATGAAAGGGTTTGTACCCTTTGTATGGTTATTGATTCTTTATATTGAGTATTTATTCAATAACACAATAATGTATCTTTTTAATTAAACGAAATGAAATGAAAATGAAACAAATTCAGACAGACTAAAGAATAGTCTATAGTAGATTAGTCTATTGGTAGATACCAATGGACTTGAATGGAGAAACATAATGATGATGACACAACCTTTGCCAGTACCCTGGATAAAACACTATTGTGTAATAGTGTCCCTTTTCTAAGGACATTGACAGTAAGAGCTAAGCATTCACCCGAATAACGGATATTGGATTAAGTACTTATGCCCACTTAGCTGCAGGCGTCTCCTTAGTACATAGAATGGATGCATTGTTCAGAATGGTCAGTTGTATATAAATATAACTGCCGCGTCAGTCGAGTGATAAAATATGCAACTCCTGGAGAAGGGGTTTCTAGTTCGACTTCGAAGTCGGATGAAGTACTATAAATATTTTTTCGATTTTTCGAAAGTTTTCATTAAGTATCAGTACAGAGTCTGGAATTATGCTTATTACATGGTGATTGGCTCATAACGTTTTGCATAAAACGTATAATATAAAAGTGATAACATATAACCGATTACAAATCGTAACGTCATATTGCATTTTTTTATATCATAAAATATAAATCATATTCCAGTTTTATAAAGACTTCTTTCATAGAGTTTAGTTACAAAAAAGTAAAAGTTGCCATTAAGAGTCGGCGCCATGCTTATTGTAGACAAAAACCCGTGTTCGGGTGCTGTATAAATCTTCGCATGCCAAGTGGAACTGACGTCGAAGATATTAGTTCATCTTCCTGGAAGGCAAGGAGTTTAACTATCTTAGTGTTTTTGTGGTTCAGTGTCCCTGTAGAGGTAGATTCTAGATTAGTAAAGCAGTACCTACTTACTTCTAATTAGTTTATGTTTGGTAGGAACTGTCAGGCATTATTTTAATGTACTAATGATGACTACAGAAGTTACAACTTGACACTAGCACCCCACAATAGTATAGGGCTAAATTTTGTTTTCAGCCATGATCGTCCCACTGCAGGGTAAACGCCTACCTACCCTCCTTCTACTCCTCTCTATATAAATCTTTTTTTTTCTTTCAATTCTTTTACCTGTTTTAAATTCCTCAGTGGTGAACAACATACTCGTGATGTCTCTGGCATTGAAGGTGTACTGTGTACATAAGTCAGGTGACTGTAAACTTTGTTGCTAACGAAAGTAGTACAAAAACACAAGACTCTTTTAACGAAGTAGTCCTAAGACGCAAAAACACTTTACATCGACAGAAAAAACATCAGAATCTGCATAACAAGGTCACGGGTCCCTAATTCCAAAATGGCGTGGTCCTCAACAGAATTGATTAGGGCAATTTCGTAAATTATATTTATTTTAGTTTCACCGTCTCATCGGCGCGATGCGATGTGGCGAAAGCGTCCGTATCGAATGTTGACTTTGTTAAGAAATAATAAAAAGAAAATTGTTGTTAGCCAAAGGAAATTAGGGGATCCGTTCTTGTTTTTTCTGCTATTGGGATTTTGTTTACTGGTGGAAAACAACTTCGACTAAAGTAAATGGTGGTCACATTTAAAGCAATTAAATTGTTCATGTTTTAAAAAATTTGATATTCATTCGTTTTAGTATGTAATCAATGTTTTTCTCAAAGCCAACAATAACATTTTAGTAGTCTTCTACTAAAACTTTGCATAATACTAGACATTACCGGGAAATTCATATTAGGTAGACGAAAGAGTAACCTATACCTACTTTAACAAATAACTCTTTTTTTTAAGGAGGGAAAATCATCGAATGACTGCTCCCGCCTGGGTGAGGTGGGAGGGAGTGTCAGACTCTCTGTGACTAAAAACCACCCTGTTCCTTCTTCTGCACATCGCCGGAGCCGAGCCCCAGTTACCCGTTAGGTTCTAGATGTACAACTATGCTAGTCCATAATTTCAAGCCTAGTCGTAGCAAAACCTAACAAAAATGTCTCCATGGCAATAATTTTCCTAAGGCGATATAAATTTACGGAACGAGAGTAACCAATTTTTGCTCCAGACGAGAACCTATTAAACGATTATTTGTCGATGTTTTACCGCCGTTTCTGCCGACAAGCACTTAGCTGCACTGTATTGAGCACTTAACGACTAATAACTATGTGTATACAAAATATTAGTATTATAACTGGCTCTTCTACTTGAGAGGTCATAAGTGTCGAAGAGCCATGCTTCGGCACGAATGGGCCGGCTCGACCGGAGTGATACACCTCAAAGAAAACCGACGTGAAGCAACGCTTGCGTTGTGTTTCGTCATGTGAGGTAATTCCTCCAGTAACCAGGGGAGGTTACTGGAGACCGGAGGAATTACCCCTCTCCCCTTCTCCAATCTCCCCAATCCCTGAATCCCCAACTCATCCTCAAACTCCTAAAAGATTGGTAACGCACTTGTAACGCCTCGGGCGTTCCAGGTGTCCACGGGCGACGCCGATTGCTTACCATCAGGTGATCCGTCTGCTCGTTTACCGGCTTATGCCATAAAAACATAAATAATAAGCGTGACTGTCATGCAAACGGGGCATGCAAATCCCTTAGGGATAGTACAAGCTCTAAAAGAGTCTCTTCGAACTAGACACGTTCCTAGGGCGCCAGGTTACAGAGAGGCGCCGTGAGACATGTGTGCCCATTGAGTAATGGCGACGCCAAAAAAATTAGGGGCTTGTCTAGCCTGTATATCCCCAAGCGGTCACCGGTGAACACTTCCACTAACTACATTATAGACCTTATTTCCTATATTTAGAGACTACTTTTGTATCAACAAATTTAGAGGATGATTTTCAACAATTTTAAATGGGCTAGACCGCTGTATAGGTTCGGTGTTCGGAAACTTCTGGTACATATCGATGACATCGGCGAAGGATACTTAGAACTCAAAGAAAAACTTGAAATAAAAAAATGAATCTGTGCATCTTGGCAACAATATTTTTGCTTGAAAATAATAATACCTCAATGACTAATGGTGATGCAGTTGCAAAACATAACAATGATGTATTGATTTCATTTTCCTTGTAGGTATCTATAGATAATAAAACATCGTGTATATTAATATACTGGTCGAATAACTCGGTTTCTCTTTACCTGACTATAGGAAGGGCAACCTGAGGTAACCACAAGTTTTCAAAAAAATATGTATAGACAGTATACACAAAATATCCTTACACTGGACAGTCCAGTCCAATCCAGTGAGTACACGTGTTTCGCAACTGGCGAAAAATTACTAAGTAGATATAGAGGTATAGTTATATTCACATTTATTTTTTACATGTTATTTTCCCTAATTAATCGTAATTTACTTAGTACTCATAATGGATGTTACATCCGCCTGTGCTCACCCTTCAACGTACTTACTTAGTACTTAATTTAATTACCAGAATTCATCTATAATCTCAAAAAAAAAACTCAGTAATAGCACTCAGACTCATAACATAAATAGTGAAAAGTGGGTGTTACATAGTACCTACAGTGGTTTTAAGTGCCGTAATATGCACCTCTGCCTACTCTGATAAAAAGGCGTGTGTTGTTATGTCAATTCATGTAAACTGATAGAAATCAGTAAGAAAAATGCATTCATTATAAAGTTCCCTTATTGGATACATACAAAAAAAAAATCCATACAATTTTGCAGTAAAGAATGACACATTCTGCCATTCTGCATCGCTCGATATGATAGAGCAATTGCGTATAGGTGTGTCTCTATAATTGGCCAATTTCAAACCAATTTCGTTTGATCCATCTTGATAACGGTTGATTGACTTTTCAATGGAGTTACAGGAACTATTATAAAATGGTAGCTAGGTAAATTGTTATTGATTGCTTTGTGATAGTTGGTGTGTTTAGTTTTGATAATCAATATTTCATGTCATGTGGTGTAGTGATTTTATTTTGATGACGATTCAGTTGTATTGATGTTGTTGTTTGAGTTCGTGTGTGTATTATTTGAAATCAAAATGGTGACGGTGGAGTGGAATATTTTTGTCATTACTTATGTCGTAAGAACCAACTAAGAGATAACACATTGGACACAGAAACTTCTGAACTACGAACGTACCTATCCATTTCATAATCACCTCCTCTTATGTAGAAATTAGCCACTTCGGCTCGGTTTCAACCGCTCTGCTCGGCGCCTATTGATCGTAGCGAAATGATTTATAGCCTATAGCCTTCCTCGATGAAAAGACTATCCACCACAAAAAGAGGTGTGGGAGAGCCAAACTTCGGCACAAATGAGAAATGCAGAACGAGTGATACCACGTCCTCGCAGAAAACCGACGTGAAACAACGCTTACGTTGTGTATGGAGGCCCAGTTGCATCACCCTCCCCCCAATCTCCTCAATCCCTGAATCCCAACTATCCTTAAATTTCTAACGGCTAGTAACGCTTCTAGTGTTCCGGGTGTCCATGGGCGACGCCGATTGCTTACCATCAGGTGATCTGTCTGCTCGTTTACCAGTTTATCTCATAAAAAAAGAATGATTTTTTCAAATCGAACCATCAGATCTATCACACTATATCTATACATTATATCTACCATACCTAGCTTTATAATTTTAGATATGATTCTTCAACTAAGAGAAGTGTTTGTAACCATACCTTACAATAGTTATTGGCAAAGAGTGGATTCTATTCCTAATCCTTATATTCTTCGTTTATACTCAGATATCATTTGTATTCAGATTTAATACATACATTTTAACCTTATACATAGTACCTACATAATTACGACTTTGTGACCAACAGTCGTGATAAACAACTACTAGAACAAAGTTCTACAACAATAATAATAATTAAGTAATTACATATTTATGAATTAAAATTATTGACCTAGAAATATAACGATACATGAGTAAAGTATTCATACGACATAAATTAGATATCAGAATGAAAAATAAATATTATGTCCAGAGGTCTGACATATGCATATCTGGGTTAAAGATAAGGATATAAAACGAATTTGACCTTATTTCTACAAATAGTTTTCTTTGTCGCTTTATTCATATACATAGGTATATTTACTTGCATTAAGCGTGAATACTTAACTTTATACTATAAACTCCAACCCACTTGTCAGGCATGGAGGTTACGGCAATGCCCTCTTTTATAGACGAGATTTATATATATAGAGTCCAGAAATTAAACAGTTATTAATGAAACTCAACACTCAATCCCACATTAAACATTTAAATAACTTAAAACAAACATACTTAGGTACTTAAAAATCAATGTGCAATTAAACTACGGACATTTTTCGACGCACTCATTGGTGATGCTGTCCCTGACGGTCCCAGGGTTACACCAGCAGTCGCAGTAGTGTCGTCTCGCCGAATGAGCGCTTGGAAGTCCACAGATGACTTCGAAGGAACAGTCGGGACCAGGATCGTATTGACCCGGAGGACATTCCGCTGGAATTTTCAAAATACAGACAAGTTAATCTAGTAATCTACATAGGTACCTATGTAAACGTGGTCAACCTTATCTTATAAAATTACTACCAAAGGATTATTTAAATGTATTATGGCCGCGAAAATCTAAGATTTAACTGTTTATATTATTGTGATTTTGCTAATCTACATGTATTCCTATGTTGATAAAACACAAATAATTAAATAGATCGGACTAACTTACCTGTGACGTCCGATCCTCAATTGTGTAGGTAGCGTCATCCTCGCTAATTATACTAGTAGTAGGCACTAATCTGGGCACGCTGTCACCATATTTAAAGATGAACACATTCATAAAAAAAATATTTATACTCTATGGTCATCTCACTGGCAACATCATTTACTTCAAAGCACCTGCAACTGCAACACAACTCGACCAGGGGTAAAAATAAACATGTTTATTATCCGGGAAGGGTTGGGACCTAGCGAGGATGACGCTACCTACACAATTGAGGATCGGACGTCACAGGTAAGTTAGTCCGATCTATTTAATTGTATAGGTAGCGTCATCCTCGCTAATTATACTAGTAGACGTTCAAAGAAGGAGTTGTGTTGACAAACAACACTGTTTAATCATTGAACATTGTTGCACTTAAACAAGATATATGACATTGTCAATAACATCAATATCTCACGAGTACTATATAGTACTAGTAAAAACTTAAGCAATAATCAAATTACGTTTATAATTTCCCCAAGATGTAAGCCACTAAACCATTATTAGATATAATAGCTACTTATGGTTATGGTATTGTTTTCAATCATTTTTATCAAATAAAAATACTTATAAAATTAAATACATTTTAAAAATAGTATTAAAAATAAACAGAAGCCCAAAGCACGGGTTATCTTAGTTTGGGTTCCTGACTTTCATCATTGTATTGTCAGGTAAACTGCATTAACCCTATGTAGAACCAAAGTGAAGTGAAGAGAAGAAACAAGCTTATGTCAATATTATAAGATTAATATTAAGATCTACATCATTATGTATTGTGATGGAAAAATAATTAAATGTCCTTATTTATTAATTTAATTATTTAGTAAGCATAGCAACAATATTATTATCTTGAAATTCTGGTGTCCACTACACCAACTATAGGTACACCTACTATGTACGTTTTGAACTATAACGTTGTTCAAATTCAGTCTATTGCGAAAATTTAACGTCTTTCAATAGGTTGTTTTCTTCAAAATTATCAGTTTCTTTTTTTTTTTTTTTTTTTTGTATATATATTATCTAACTTCTCCATTTTCAGTAGATCTACATTATGATCATGACTCCATACATAGTGATATACAGAGCTAATAAGCTCATGCAATATTAGGATTGTTGGTGGAAAAATGGATTGACTGACCAGGCAGTCGTCTTACTTAAATATATGACTTTGATACTGATTGATACATCTCTGTGAGGCTTTAGAAGAGGTTGAGAGTCCACTGTTATAGTACTAGACATACATTCACTTGAAATTGTAGAATATGATTGATCCCAGAACAATGATTTAAAAATTGTTCTTAAAAATAAAAAATAGTAGGTAGGTAGGTACTATTAAATATGGTTCAGGTTTATTGGCATTATCATTTAGGTACAATCTATAGTGATAGAGATAGTGTGAATTATATGTGCTAATTAATTGATGTTTTAAACTAAAGTTTTAAGCTAAGATTATCATTGGAGTACATACAGGTACATAATAATATTGATTTATTTAGATTGTCATGTACACAATACAATAAAGTTACGGTACATGGTGAACTTGATTCCAAGTGGCATATTCTACCAGTAACCCTCAGGGTTTTAAATAATAATTGTAATAATACACAATTATGTACCTATTTTAGAATAAAACTGGAACCGCACACCACATATTAAAGTTTCTTTTTCTTTTTGGCCTTAATTTGTATACACTTCTAAAAAATCTTGTAGGTAGTTTCTTAATAATTTCACACAAGAGGACCTAGGACTAATGAAGTACCTATCTAATAGTATTCAATAAACTGTATGATAGGTAAATTTAGAAGTAAAAATATAATAATCACAACGGATACATATGCTGAAAAAGTCAAAGCAAAGTCGTATTGCTGTTTTGTTTTACTTTACAATGTGATGCTAGCATTATTCCCATAGAATGCAGTACCTATTCCTTTTCTTAGGAATTCATTCCTGATTATATGGTGGTGACTACATTGTATATGTTGTGTAAAGTGGGTGAACTTCTGGAAGGAAACAACCAGAGATAACACTAGAACTTAATGAGGTTCAGAAACTTGAGTTGAACCGTGGGTATCAATAATGGATCCTAATAACCTTTGCATATACCCCCCCCCCCTTTATCTCTTTATGACTTTTAAAATTCCGAAAAGAAGGAGGGCATGGAAAAAGAATCTTCCTGCACTTACTGAATAGTGAAAACAACAGTAAAGATATCAGGGTCAGGAACCCATGATACATATATTTCAGTCTCTTATACTTGTTTGCCTATAGATCTTTGGCGTGATACACCAAGTGGTTTTGGAGGCAAACTTTGATTTAAACTCGTGCGAATGGGACATCTGAGTTTATTTAGGTATTTCTTTACCGGCCTTATTTTCTTTTAAGGTGTAAACATTTATTCTAGATTAACTTAAATAACAAGTGTTCAAGTTCTTTTTGGTAAAACAGAACGTATTTGACATCTGATGTTTTAATGTCAACATGTCAAACAAACGTAAATATTGTTTACAGTGAATATTTTGTTGTGCGTATTCGCTTAATAGTTATTATATTGGCCTTACAATTTCAATTATTAACCTAATTTTAACATGGAGCCAGCCAAATTCCATAGCTGGGCGAGCAAACAATGTTAACTTTAAAGTTGAACGGAATCAAAAATCTGCAACTTTTTGTTTAGGTCATACAATTTTCATTATACTTGTAATAAAATCCACCTTTTTAAGTGGCACTTATATAGAGTTGTCTAGAGTAAGAAATTAATCCTATATACTGAAAGAATCACCCTTTTCAGTATAAATAATATTTAATACTATACCAAGTTTACAAGAATACTTCTGTAAGGTTCTGTATTAGTAATATAGTCTAGACATTTCTTATGTTCTGCAAAATTAAGGAATATCATCAACATAATTTCGTGTAATCAATACTATACAATGTATAAGGTTACTCTTTGGGAAGACAAATAAGAACCGCAAATGTTTGTCATTCACCATTTTCCTTCACTGATATTAAATAAAATGCATTCTTAAGTTGATCATGCATCTGAAGACACTTCAACATATGAGGAGTTTTAGAAATGGTTCTAGATCCATTGTTTATATTAATAGTAACATAATTTATTATAGTCCTTAATTATTTAATTGCCTGAAGGACCATTTGTTCTGGAATGTGAAGATAAACTGGCAAGTAATCACTTAGTCAGTTATCTACATATATGGTACAGTACAGCACCTTAGCTTTAACAATTTTCCTTCAGAAGTAAAATTATTTTGCTTTTACACCTATGTGGGTATTTTGTGGTATATTTGTCTGAACAGGAATATCAGTGATGGTAATTTATACCTATTAATCCAACTAAGTATGGTTGGGAAACCTAAAGCAGAACTCTATTGTTCAGAAAGGTAATGTGATCTACCTGTACTAGCGATGATCCGGACCTCAGTGCTGTGGGTAGAATTAGAAATTCTGTAGAGGATGCATCGGCCTTGTTGATTTTCTTGTAATCATGTGTTCGCTTTAGTTTTGGTTTTTGCTCACACACACACACACACACACACTTGTTGTTTGTACATCACACAGTGTTTGTTGATGTGGTTGGCATGAAGTTGGTAGTCTAAAAGGTTTTCTTGGATGTTCTCCAATTCAAGTTTAGACTCTCTGATAGCTTTACTTGCAATAAACTTGTCTTGAAGCACTATTTATTACTGTATATATAGCTAGAACACCTATTTGTGTTCTGATCTTCATTCAGGGGCACATGTTAATAATTTACAGAGCAGTCTGGCTGTATCCTTAAAATCTTTAATAGGTTTGTTAATTAATTTGCGAACAGTAACTGCTCCTAGAGTCATTTGATATTCACAATCCTATCGTCTCACTCAATCCCATCTTTATTTAGTGGCACCTCCTCCCCTCCTCATTTATTTGAGACATTGGGAGGAATTAGGTTATAATAATTATGAAAAGGGAAAATAAGTGTAATCATTTGATAAGAATGGCTTTGTCCAACATGCAACACTATGGAATAGCTGGCTAAGGAAATGTCCCATTTCCCATAAGCATAGGTAGCAATTGCTCCGGAGTATATTTACTGACTGGAGCGAGACTATAGGAGTAGTTTCCAACTCATGTTGATTGGCTTCGGTGCCATGCCATGGTGAGCGGCTTCAACTGGAATGGCTTCATGTTCTTCTGAGGCAAAGCGAACTGATTTTAAGTTTCTAACTGCAAGGTAGTTTAAATGATCCACGGCTAACCTCTCGTGAAAGCTCTAGGATTGCAGTTGGAAATGTTTGACTAAATGTGACTTAAACCCGTGGCTAACCTCTCGTGAAAGCTCTTGTGGTTTGCTTCAAAGTCAAGTAACCAACGGCTGACCTCTCGTGAAAGCTCTTGTGGTTCGTTCCAAAGTCAAGTAAACCAATGGCTAACCTCTCGTGAAAGCTCTTGTGGTTAATTCTATAGTAGAGTTACCAACGGCCAACCTCTCGTGAAGGCTCTTGTGGTTCGATCTACAGTAAACATGTAACCAACGGCCAACCTCTCGTGAAGGCTCTTGTGGTTCGATCTATAGTAAACATGTAACCAACGGCCAACCTCTCGTGAAGGCTCTTGTGGTTTAATCTATAGTAAACATGTAACCAACGGCCAACCTCTCGTGAAGGCTCTTGTGGTTTCGATCTATAGTAAACGTGTAACCAACGGCCGACCTCTCGTGAAGGCTCTTGTGGTTTAATCTAGGTATATAGAAAACGTATAACCAATGGCTCACCTCTCCTGAGGGCTCTTATGGTACGTTTCAAGTGTGTATGTTGCGTACACAATCATTCTCAAGGCTATCCGCTTGTGGAAGCTATTGGAAAACGCCCCACAATGTGGTGTAAGTACCTACAAGAAAAAACTTACCAAACTGACGACAACGAATGCGTCCTCTCGCCGGTTTCGCCCAATTATCCAATTCCTGCATACACTCCATCAGTTTTCCTATCTGCTTGCGACGTTTTCGACCCATTTAGTAGGAAAATCACCAATTAAATTGAAAAATTTTCCAGGGTACGACGTGACAGGTCGTGCACAAAGAAGTACAATGATGTTGCCAGTGAGATGACCATAGAGTATAAATATTTTTTTTATGAATGTGTTCATCTTTAAATATGGTGACAGCGTGCCCAGATTAGTGCCTACTACTAGTATAATTAGCGAGGATGACGCTACCTATACAATTTCCAACAGCTATACCTAGCCATTTTTACTGACCTGGAGTTCGAACCTGGACTCATGTTTTGCTGTCAATCAACAAGACAGGCAGGTACCTAATTATTATGCATTAATAAATTATGTAATGCCTATGGCATTAATTCCGCCAATTTCATTATATGCGCAATAAAGTTTAATAAATAAAAAAATAATAATTCTTTAACTAAGATGTTTAACTACCTATACTTATGCATTATCATTGTATCTAAATATATAATATTCATTCATACAGCCAAATGTGTAAGGGCAGATGCCCTACACTTAGTTATAATGGTATTACACACACAAAAACCTTACCTACAACTATAATTTAAATATTGAATTGTACACTTATTTACACACTTCGATAATCATTTGAATAAACACAATTAATATAATCAAAACTTGTTCCAAACAATTTCGAATATAAACACTAAAAGAACACTACAAACACATGCCTATTCGTTGGGAATATAACGTAAATATACAAAAAATACTCACCATTCGTTTGTTGTAAACTAATTACGATTGTGAACAAAACAAATAAGACTGTCAAACGTTTCATGTTGACGGCACACAAACACAATAACGAATGCAATTTATCACAACACATCAACTGTTTAAATAACTTCTTCACCTTGATTATCTGTGCCACTAATTTGTTGAAAAATTATACATCTTAGACCAATCATCGTATACTGTAAACCAGCATTTTGTATCTTCAAAACCATCAATTGTTTTCGCACTATTCAATTTTGTATTCACAAAAGAGGTCACATTCCTAGATAGATGTGTTTACTTTGATAGTTCAACAAAACAAATTACGTATATAGAAGCCAATTTAATAAACGTTGTCACTATTAACAAACTATTATGAGGAACTATAAAACTACTTTGTGGTATAGAAAACTAATTTGAAATCGATTTGCTTCAAACGCAGAGATGAGACTGATCGATGCAAACATGTTTCTCACGTGTTATATACAAAAGTAATATAACAATAGAAGTATATAAGTACATCTATGTATAGGTACATTCGTGTTTTTATGAAGCAGGTTATAATTATTCTATTTTGGTCACGTTATGTTGGATGTTTCTAGGCGTAACATTGGTTTTTCCGATGGAGTAAGGAACTAAAGAGTTAATAACCTAATAGATATATATGAAGACAAAATTGCGTAAGGTACCTATATATAGATAATCACATACCTAGTACCTAGGAACATTTATGCATTGCATTTTTTTAATTTAGTCTTACACTACGTTGACTGAATTTGACAACAGTCACGAAATATAAAAGTGATTTGTGGTTGGTAAAGGTTACGATACAATCAAACCTACGACATTAAATTACGTATGGTTCAGTTATCTAGTGTCTTAGGAAGTATAGATGTGTTAAAGAGTTATAATTAAATTATTTGAAACTTACGTATCATTCAATTTTTTTTCTCCTCTTATAATATCTTCTGATTCACTTCGTTGCGGGAACCAAGACATGTCATGTCCCTGGGGCGCGCTGGACTTCAGTGTTCCGGTGTTTTCATGGTTGTATCTACTGTAGAACCTGGCTTACAAGAGTTGCAGCTGTTTTGGGAGGTTGTAGCGGGCTTGTCCCAATTAAAAAAATATCATTCAATATCCTATAGCAACTTCTGACGTCACACAGCACTAAGACTCATCATCAAGGAAGCAAGTAAGTCACCGATGTACAAAGTAAAACGTATACCTATAAAAGATAAAATCTTTGCATATATATGTAATTGTATTATATCATACTAATGACTTCTTTAATAACAATAAATGCTACGGTTTGTGAGCACATAATTACAAGTCGTCAGTCATTGTTATACGGTTTAATTTAAGAGAACGAGGGATTCCTACCTTTTTCGGTCTAGTGACCAATTAATTTGCCAGGCATAATAGAACCCACAAAATATGATGTATAGATGATTTTTTGTAAGGAATCTGTGTTCTGGTTTGTGGTAAAAAATTGTTTAAATCGTTAATTGAGGAATTTAATTAGTATAAAGAATCTGTCTGTGTTTGTCCGATATGTTTGACAATGTATACGATATATTTCACTGTACAATGTAACAACATTGTACAGTGGCATAACGGGCACCTATAATGTGGGTGTTCCCACTTTTCACTATTTATGTTGTAAGTCCCATGTAATAGGGGGTGAGTCTATTGCCATTTCCTTACTTTAAAGAAAATAAAACTTGTTTTTACTGTCCGTACGTATCCATCCTGTAGGTACCTAACAAGTAAAAATCGTCAAGTAAAAATGTCAACGATGATCGAGTAACGAGTAGACCTAGAATTGGAAACGAGTGTGCGACCCGCGGGGAGCGAGTAAGTATAGTTCCAATAGTTGCTCTTGCAAGTGCTCGTCGGCAGTGTGAATAGTCAGCGATCAACGATTCGTATGTGCATCTCTTTTTACACGAAATGTTTATCTGTTATACGTTTCTTGAGCGAGAAAATAGCCGACAGTCGTTTTCTCGTTATCGCGGTGGGATTACTGCCTAATACATGTCAGTTTATGATTTTTGTATAATAATTATTTACTCATCACTGTCTTTGCGACTATGCCAATCATGTAAAGAAATTAAAAACAAACTGACTTACAACTGGAGTACGAAAATAGGAAAGTACTTTTTCTTAGTGGCCAAATGGTATTTAAGATGTATGTACAGCGTGAAACAATTAAAACACAACTTAATAATTTACAATACTTAATTTTAATTTTAATCTTAACATCCCTTCAGGTCGACACATGCGTTGGTATCCAGGTTTCTATACGTGCCAGGTATGCACCAGCAATCGCAGGTGTGCTTCGGGTATGCATGAGAACTTCTTGTTGAACATGATGGTTCCAAGCCACAGTTTGGTCCAGGGTTGTATTCACCAGGTGGGCAGGCCACTGAAAATGATTTTTTCTTAGTTTTAGTGCTTTTGATTTATATTGAATGCGTCTGCTGACTACCTTCCTGGTGGCTGGTTTAGGTTCTTATTATAGGACAATAGGTAAGTAAAAGTGAGTCCTACATTTGAAATATACACCTTTACTAGTTACATTAGTAGCTAGTCCTCAAGAAATAATATTCTCCATGTTGTGTTTTCTGACCCTTCTGATTATGACAAATATTTAAAACATAATTATGCATTTGTATGCTCAACGATTAAAAGCACTAATCTACGCCAAGTGCCTAGGTCCTAGAGTAAGTCTCTTTAAGTTCAAGGTCTTAGGCACAGGCCCATACTGCCCACGTCTAAGTCTAGCTACGCTGTACAACTGCTTGCTGGGGCAGGTACATACCTCCTTAGACCTTTAACGCATCAATTCAACACTGCAGTGTTCTACACACGTTGGTAAGTCTTGACTCGTATAAGGAAAAGATTTGAAATGATATCATAATTATCACGGACATTGATGTGTGTGTATGTTGTATCTTCAATTGGGTACTTGCCAACTAGTCAAATTCAATACTTTATTTGAACTGTTAAAAACGACAGGTTTCTATGAATTTTCTACGAGATTTTGTATTGTGACGTCACGTTTTTTTAGCGTCAAACATCATACTTATTTCTTAAAAATGTGCTGAAAAAATACTAAAATTAAGTTGTTTATAAAATCAATTAATGAAAGTGTGATAATTTTGAATAGGTCAAATAATTTATTTCAGACTAAGGAAAGTACCCAATTCTATGTTCCATAATTTCGATATTTGTCCCTATATATTGCCGTTATGTATTACCTCTACCTACCTATAGATATTAGTTACCCCATATTATCGTCACGATAGGGGTGTATTGTATGGTAGTCTGACTCGTTTTACCCTGTTCACCCCCAATTTTATCGCAATTATGATAAAGGGAAGAATTGCGAGTGAATGGAATGTTTACGACCAATAAAAAGATAAAGATTGAATAATTTACCAGTCCTTTTATCACAGCGGTATCCGGTAATATTATGGAAACCGGTAAACTTTGGTAATTGGTGTACTTATACACTTATAGGTTCAGGTTACTTACATTTCTACAATCGAAATTGATACTGAAAATAATTATTATGGTTTCCGCTTCACTTTAACGTAACTGTTTGACGAGGAACTCGACAAGTTTCAAGCCATGCTAGAGGCTCATATTTCTCTTCTGCCTGTAGCATGGCTTGTAACTGTAATAATTTCAGTATGTCTCACGAAAGTTAAAAATATAAAGTTAATACTGTATTGTGTTGCAAAAGTGGTATGTCATGGAATTATAAAAGCTTGAACTGTCAAACACCAAGCGGTCACCGGTGACCGCAACCTATTGTTCTATAATTGTGTCTCATATTTCTCTTCTGCCTGTAGCATGGCTTGTAACTGTAATAATTTCAGTATGTCTCACGATAGTTAAACATATAAAGTTAAAACTGTATTGTGTTGCAAAAGTGGTATGTCATGGAATTATAAACGCTTGAACTGTCAAACACCAAGCGGTCACCGGTGACCGCAACCTATTGTTCTATAATTGTGTCTACAAAACCGGTACTCGACGAGTTAAAATACATACGTCCTCTAGTTTTTCACTGAGGGAGCAGGCAGATAGGACACATTAAATTATGTAACACCTATTCATCACTAAAGACTGCAATATACAAGACGAACCTATTGCTGTATACTGGGGATAGTCCTATGCTCCTAGCTGCTAGCGGTGCTATTTCTGAGAATATGCTGGAGTCAAACGCAAGACCTCTTGCTTTGTAGTTGAGCGAACATCGGTAACTCCTCAGAATTAACATGAGTTTTTAAAGCGAATTAATAATCTCTGCATGGTACAAACTTGCTGACGATTTCAATGCCTAGTTACGTTGTGTCAAGTAATATTATCATGGCACATAGTATAGTTCTGTTGGTACATATTATTATTATATATAAATGGGTCACGCCCTATTTATCATGCAATTATTATTGCTTGTTAAATACTTAAGTATACACGTGTATCTATGTAAATACGTATTCAGTACATTAGTAGAGGATTCATTATAATAATTAAAAAGTAACTAAATATCTAATAATTTTAATTATGAAACAGTGTAGTTCTCATGTTCAGAAATAGGCACAACATACTTAGGTACCTGTATTTGATATCTGTATGTATCTACATAACATTGTTACATACCTACAGTATAATATTAGGTATAATTATATAAAAACAATCAAATGTTTTTTTCCTTAATCCTAATTATGACCTACCCTAAGTAGATACAATGGTTACATATTGCCATCGCGAAGGACACTCCGGGCGTCGGGGATCGCGTGACGATCTCCGTCCACCGTAAGCGAGGGCCTGCGGATGGCGAGCATGGGTGACTCGCCGCCCGACCACAACCAGACCCGACCGTACGGCACGTCGCCAGATCAGTCCACCACGGATGGGGCCCAATAGGGCTGATGCCGATTCGGAGTCACGGAGAACCTAACGGGTTACCGGGGCTCCGGCTCGACGTGCAGGAGAAGGAACGGGGTGGTTTTTAGTCAGTCTGATACTCCCTTCAGCCTCACCCAGGGAGAAGTCATTCGATGATTTTTCCCTCTTAAAAAAAGGGTTACATAGGTACTGTTCATGTTTTTAACTAAAATTACTTAACTAAATAGACTAGATCTCAGCTGAGCAGTAAGCAAGTAAATGGTTAAGCAATCCTAACAGTTTGAATGAAACTTAGCCACCTTACTGAAGTAAGTTACTACTGTAAGTTTCTTAACAAGTTTCAAGTTGAAACGGGCAGGTGCACCGTGCACAATAGTCCTGCAGATAGTTAAACACATTAAGTGCCTTAACATAACATAACATAACGTAACGCCTTTGATCCCCGAACGGGTACGCAGAGGTGCACATTATACCACCGTACAATGTAACTCCCACTTTTCACTATTTATGTTATGA